CAGAATAGGCATATATATAAATATAGAGTGTCTGTGCAGCATGGGGGCACTCTAAATATTCAGCGAACCAAAATTTCTCTCGAGAGGTTGTGGTAGGGAAAGAGAGGTGAGAGACCCTCCGACCCTTGCTCCCGAAGTGTTCTCTCTTTTAAAATTGGAGGTGGAAAGGAGCAAAGTCGTACTATCACCTGTATGGTGCTCAAGGCACTTGCCGTCGACTGGCGCAATCTTGTACTCCTTGCCAACGTGAATTTAGTGGGTTTGTTCTGATGTTACCGTCAGACAAAGGAGATAAGCCGCAAACAAAAAATACGAGAATTAAACTGAGATTATTAATTTTTTAAACAAAATCCAGGATTGCTCAAGTTAATTTTAATGTTTATTAATTTTAAAAAAGTTAACATTTTCAACAGTTGTTAGACTCTTTGTATCTGCTCATTAAACTGGATTATTGAATCTTTCAGAGCACATTATTGTTATCTGTCCTTGCGGAGAAAGTCCATCTCAAACGTATGAAGAAAATAATACTACTGTTTTGGCACTGGAAATAAAATTTAAGATAACTAAATCAAGATCGTCTCATCGCAGCAAAGATTTCATTTTATATATGTTTACATTTTACATCTCTTTACTTTGAAATATTTATTAGCTTCCTATGAGGAAATTTTGTAATATCGCTTTTTAGGTTATAATAATTTATACTTATTAGCTTAATTTAGCAGTAAAACGTGACTAATATTCGTTACGACAAAATGAAAAAGTGTGCAATTATTGGCAGTTTAACACGTATTCTAAGAAGTTGTGTGCATTAAATCTATCGCTTGTTGTTTTTATGACTTATCTCCCTTGTCTGACAGTAGCATCAGAATAAGCCCGCAAAATTCCTCGCGGGAAGGAGTGTAAGATTGCGCTTATCTTTTGGCAAGAGCCTTGAGCACCATACAGGTGACAATACGACTTTGCTTAATTCTGCTCCCAGTTTTGAATGAGAGCATCCCGGAGTCAAAAGGCAGGATCTCGAGGATCTTCTGCCCTGCCATCAACCTCTGGAGAGGATCTTCGGCTCGCCGCATATTTAGAGTGCTCCATGCCGCACAGATATTATAAATTAACAAATATTGATACCTTATCTGCGATTCGAACCCGGGCCCTTCGGTACGGCGGTCAGCGTCTCTAACCACTATCCCAGTTGGGCGGCATCTCTCGCTTAAATACCTCTATTAAAAAGATTCGCTGAATCATGTCATACCGGAGGAAATTTCAATAACTGAATTTGCTTGTTAAAGAGCTGAGCAGAAGAATTATATGAAAAAACCTCTACTAGAACAGCATATGCAATGCTGTATTACAAACGGTGTTAAAATAACTTTCCACCATTTAATATGATGTCTTAAATTCAGCAAAACGCTTCTGAGCAAATCAATTTCAGTTTCTGTCATGAAACACATGTTTGCCACCTCACAACAACTACATTTGACATAATCATCGTTACTCCCTCTTGCATTTCTCATTCTTTGAGCAAATTCCTGTTTCTTTCCCGATGTTTCTCTGGCGTCAGACCTTTTAGATAATTCAAGTTAGCCAAAGCGAAGGTCGCTAGTCTGTAGCAAAGGCAGCTTTCAACCAATAATTTCAAGCATATCAGGACCTTGAATGAAAAGTTGTCTTGGGCGTTTTGGTCTTCGAAAGGTTAAAGAAAGTAAAAAGTAAACTTTGCACTCCCAGCTTGCTTCATATGATAACTGAGGACGATCTTCATAAGCGCCTCCATTTTTGTGAATTCATTTTCAATAATAAATAGCTGACTGATTGGATTGGTCTGATAAGGCAATTTTTAACTGAATGGAATCCTCAATCGCCTCAACTATATGTACTGGGCAAACGAAAATCCTAATGAACGAACTGAATTAAAATATTCTTAGTGGTGGTACAGTGAAAGGGTTAGGTGAAATTCTTAGGGTGGGTACTACAGAATGATATCTAATGGAAGATATCATTCTGTAGGGAACTCTGAAGAACACCGTCTAAGCCCTAAACCTCGTGCTATGAAAAGATTGTGACTGCGTGTGGATTCACACTTATGGAAACAAAATCACGTGTTTTACGATCTGTTCTACAGCGTTTCAGACGATGTATTGCTGCAACAGAGGACATTTTGAATATCTGCACCATTAAAATGCCATCAGTAATGTGTTGAACATTTTTGCGGTTTACAAGAATTATAATTTTGTGAATTTTGTTCGAGTTATTACAGTTCAATCAATGTAAACCCCTTTCTGGGACACTCTGTATAGAAATTTATAATAATATTTTTTTTCAACAGTAACTAATGTAGGTATATGATTATGAGGTCGTAGAATGTAGTGCATAAAAATTGTCTTAGTCGACCGGGCCTGTTGATTAGTTTCTTTATTAATACATGATATTTTTTTTGCAAACGTATCTAAGTAAGTGGCGTTAAAGAGTCTGATCTTAAACCTTTCGTTAGATTTGTGCAATATTTTGTCTTTTTTACCTGTTATTACAGTATATTTAATGAAAGGCAGGTAAGCAATGGCTGATTAACATAAAAAATCTTATGTAGACACCACATGACTTCCTTGTACAGCCTATTAAATTATACAAATTTTTTCCTGCATTTCATTTAAACTTATTTAATTGAAATTTGTGAGAGGTATATTTCTCATTCAATTAATTCAGTTCTCACTTCACAGCAAAGAAAAAATGCATAAAAGCTCAAAACATATTCATCAAAAATTATAAAATACAGAAAAACATATAACAATAAATATAGTTATAACAGTTAAATTTTTTTTACAATTAAAATTAGAGTTTTTACTCAAAACCGAGCAATTCGACCGATGAAAAAGCAGGCAGGTGTTTTGGTGCACAAAAATGAAAGTTTACTTTTCGTCCCACTCAGCAAAAAGACACTGAAGGTGCAGAAACTAACTAAATTCACTATTCTACTTACAAATGTAAACAAATGGCGGTTTGTTAAGCTTAACTCGGCACTTTAAAATTGTTGATAAATCTACAACTATTGTATGTTTAGTTAATCTGAAGGCATAAAAACCTTAACCGGAACTTAAAATAATTCAATAATTTTAAAGCAAAAAATGCGCAATTTACTAACATATAAGAGGCTGATTGCAACCAGAAAGAGAGATGGACAACTACATGTTAAATCAGTCCTATGTGCAAAATTTCAACGTTCTGATGCTGCTCGTTTTTGAGTTATGCTAGACAAATGCATACGTATGTACAGACGTTAAAAGCTATCTCTTTTTAATCTATTTTACAAACCATTTAGGGAAAAGAATAATTTATTCTGTCCTTACGTACAGATTGCACACAAAAAACTTGTTAAATTTCATCCGATAGTGGCTAAAATGGATATTTTCTTTGAAATATGATACTGAAAATTTTTCGCGTAACAAACGCGTTCGTTCCGTTTACTTGTGCAAGGAAGTAAAAACATTAAGCGAATAAAGAATACTCTAGTTTCCAAACGGAGCGTTTGGTATAGTTTTTTTCCCTTTCTTGGCTAATTTTAGGATTCATTTTGCAAACGTAAAATTACTATTGGCTGAAGGTTTCTGCAAATATTTGCGTCATCAACATAATGTAACCATAACCTGACGTGGGTATATTTTAAAATGACCCAATTTATAGAGATTTATTGCAATTAGTTACTATTTTTAGAATGGATTGGGAATAGTCAGATTAAAAGTTAAGGGCTAATACATACTTCTCACCTGTCTTTTATTTATATGCACATATTATATTTTTATTATTACTTTTTTTAATTGTACTAGTATTATTTCAATATGGAGTTATTTTTGTGACTAATAAAGACTATGCGTGATAAATTATTTTCGTTTTCTATGAGTAATATTAAAAAATATTTACTATGCACGTGGTCTTGTAACGCAACTGCATTATTTTAAGCTGCGTTGCATCATCAAATTAAGCATAACGGTTAAATTTTTAAAATTATGCAGAAGTATTGCTTTAAATCCATTGAATTACTTGGCACCAGAATTTGAATTTATTTGGTTTCAAATAATCATTCTTGCGCTTTATTTAAATTTACCACTCAATTTTTCTTTCATTGCATTGTTGTGGCAACAGCTTCTGAATTTAATTAAAAATTAAAGAAAAGAAATCACGGATTGAAACAGTTAAAGAAAGAAACAAGCATTTCTTTATGTTCTTAAAATAACGTTAACTAATTCTTCTTAGAAACACTTTGTAAGGATTAAAAAGGAAAAGAAATCAGTTCATCGTTAATTCTCCAAGCAACTTTGAAAAAGAGTCAGCATTTTATCCCATCTAAAACATTAAATGAAATTCTACAAAATGAACATTATTTTAGTTAAAAGACACACAGCTTTTGTTTCGTTTATATCAAAATAGTTTTTAATGCGAAAGCACTTTTAAATGTCGATTACACTTTGAAACGAAGCTTTCACTGCTATCGTATATATAAGGTATGTTCGAAAAGTTCGGTGAATTTTACCATAAAAAAAGGAAACAAGAGAAACAAGCAAAGTAGCTTTACTGACCTTCAAAGTATTCGGCCACTAGCAACAATACACTTTTTACATCGGGTGTACAATTGTTGGAAACTGTCTGCAAACGCTTCTTTTGGTATGGCTCGAAGCACCGTTGTCACACGTTGTTGGATCTCAGTAATGTCGGAAATGTGTTGGCCTTTCAGAACTCCTTTGAGGCGGGGAAATAGGAAAAAGTCCGCGGGAGCCAGATCTGGAAAATATGGAGAGTGATCCAAAACTATAACCTAGTGCCTGTCGAGGAATTGGGTTACACGGATCGCAGTGTGCGGCCGGGCGTTGTCATGGAGCAGATTCCACTGTCCATTCCGGTACTGTGGCCGAATCCAGCGTATGCGTAGCAGCAGCCGTTTCAAAACCCCCTCGTAGTATTCCGCATTGACGGTTGTAGCCGCGGGTACAAATTCACGATGGATCAAACCCTTACTGTCGGAAAAAGACGATCAACAACGTCTTGATCCTGGATTGTGTCAAACGACTTTTTTTGGGAGGGGGTGACGACGTTGAACACCATGCCATGGATTGCCGCTTGGTCTCCGGATCGTATTGATAGCACCACGACTCATCCCCTGTAATTATTGTTTCCAAGAATTGCGGATTCCGGTCACACATGTCGATAAAATCTCCAGAGGTTTCCATCCGGTATTGCTTTTGCTCGTCTGACAGCGAGTGCGGTACAAACCGGGCGCATATCTTACGTTTATGCAAATGTTTGTGCACAATGGTGCTCACACTGTCCTGGCTTATCTGCAATTCGCCAGCTATCATTCTTAAAGATAGTCGTCGATCTGCCGCAAGCATCCGTCGAACTCGTTCCACATTGTCTGGAGTTGTGCTTGTTGTAGGGCGCCCCGACCGCGGCTCATCTTTGACATCCTCCTTTCCATCTGTAAAGCGTTTAAACCACTCATAAACACATTTTTTACTCACTGCTTTCTGACCGTAAACTTTCACTAACATGTCATGTGTCTTTGTCGCCGTTTTGCCTAACTTGAAGCAAAACTTTACGTTTATGCGTTGCTCCATGTCACACTGACAATCTTTCTCACACTGACTGTGTAAAACTGCTCATAGCGTGCGCTTCCTCTTATCTGTAATAAAATGGCCGTTAAATGGCTCTAGATGACATTTCTCTCACTGCGTCTGCGTGAGTGCAAGATCCTAACCGGCCCGGTTTTCTAATTATGAGACCAATCACCGAACTTTTCGAACACACCTTGTGATAACCTTAGGAAATTATTCAGCTATATATATAGATTATTTTTTCTCTGAATTCTTATTTTAACTGCTCGTGTTTCTTCTACGAGGCTTATACAAGAAACTTAAACCACTAACAAAATAAACAAATGCACAACAGCATTGCACATTATTTTAAAAAAATATAACAAGCTAAAAATATCTGAAAGCTTTCAGATTTTATATTAAGCTTAAACAGACGTTTTCTTCATTTACAGACACATGCACGTTTCGAGATCATTTGAGTTAATGCCACTTTGTGCTGAAATATTAAAACAGAGCATATCTTTAGAATTTTCGATAGACAGTTTAAAAAGATAAAAATGTTTTATTCCCTACTGTGTTGCACTTCTGGCTTTGATATCGTTGAGGATTTTAATTAAAATTTCGATAAAATTTTAAAACAAATTCCAAATTCGAGTTTCCGGGAGCTCATATTTGGGCAGAGGGCTACGTTATTCAAAATTTGATGTCTCTAGGTACCGTCGTTTTCAACAATGTGAGAAACATACATATACTTTCATGCGGATTCTTTATTATTTAATTTCTTTAAATGTAGTACGGGAAGATAATATTTGTGGCACTAATTTGAAACTGATTTAGACTTTTATAGCGGTTAAATGCAAAATCCCATTTTGAGACTAACAGCTCTGCTTGGCTAACGACATTCAGGCTAATAAAAAGTAAGGAAAGAAAAAATAAAATACTGAAAACTCAATAATCTAAATTAAGATTGGAATTTCCGAAAACGTTAAGAAAATACTGGTGACCAAGATATATAGAGAGATTAGACTCAGATTTATATATTCTGCTTAATAGGCTAATTTTTCTTATTTGGATGTGGTCATCTGAGAGGTTCTCGCTTATCAGTGATAATTTTTGTTTTATACCAAAGGGGCTTTATCCCTGAAGGACTAATGTTTCTGTTTTGCGATTTTACGTTGGTTCACTATAAATATCCGTTTCACTTTTCAAACTGTTGCCACCAAATGTTAGAGTGCTGCATTATATCTGAAGAAATTAAATAATGAAAAATCTGCATAAATATATGTATATTTCTCGCACTGTGATAAAACAACGATACATAGAGCCATCGAATGTTGAATGACGTCACCCTACTGCGAATATGGGCATGTGGAAGCCCAAATTTGAAATTTGGAATATATTTTATTATCGATTTCATATTTTGTAAAACTTTAATGCATTTTTTATTAACGAACTCAAGGATTTCAAAGCGAGCAATGGCGACGTTGTACAGAAAATACATTTTTAATTATTAGTGGAATTTATATCGGAACTTCTAAATTTTGTGATATTGCTCTTGAACTGAATTTATGATTTAAGTGAGAAGAACGTAATATTTAATTAATAAAGTTAACAGAAAAAAATGTAAAAAAAAAAAAAAAAAAAATCTGATGTGTACACCACATGACTTCCTTGTACGGAATATTAAATTATACGCATTTTTTTCTAGAATTTCATTTAAATTGATTGGATTGAATTAAATCTCGTTCGTCGACAGCGCATAAACCACAACAGAATAAATGCACTCTTTAAAATTCACTATATTTGTTTACTATAACGACACTCGGAATGCACAAAATTTATATCATTTGAAGAATTATCGTTGCCAGATGTTCTATTCAAATACTATAATAAAGCTAAAACGATGTATGAAAGAAATTAAGCAAACAAAACAGAAAAGAAACAGTTTTTCACAGAAGATTTAGTATTTCTCATTCAATTAATTCAGTTCTCACTTCGCGACAGGGCAAAAATACATAAAAACACAAAATATCTGCATTAAAAATTACGAAGTAAATCTTAAACACTTATTTCCCCGAAAAAATTCCAGAAAGGATTAAGCATGATTGAATTCGCAATAATAAATGAAGGCGTTATTTTTGTGTTGCGAAGCTTAGTCTCTCTAGATTGGCAACAAATTAACAATTCTGCTGTTTCAAATGTAAACAAATATGTCCGCTATGTTATTTAAAACTTAACCGCACTTAAACAGCTTTTAAATTGTTGATAATTGTACAAATATTGCTTCCAGAATTACGAAAGGCATAAAATCCTTAACCGGAAGATAAAAACAACATAATTCAATCATTTTTAAAGCAAAAAATGTACAATTTACAAACATATAAGAGTAAAGAAACTGAGATCACTGAGCCGGGTAACAGAGTGGATATATATATATAAATATATTTATATACGTTTGGTGTGGCCGATCGCAACCAAAATACGAGGTGCACATCTACATGTTATACAAAATTCCTATATACAATAGGAATAGTCCTATATACAAAATTTACAAATACATGTTATACATGTTATACAAAATAGTCCTATATACAAAATTTCAACGTTCTGAGGCTACTCGTTTTTGAGTTATCCGAGATACGTACGTATGCATGTACGTACACTGCTAAAAAAAAATGGGACAGTGCTATATCTCCCGTTGTACTGGGCCGATTAACAAAATTCAAATTGCGTTCTTCATGTCTCGAAAGCGCGACTTAGGATATATATTAGATTTATATATAGCACTATTCTAAAATAGGTATTTTGACACAAAATCGGACTTTTTCTGAAATAACATACCAATTTTTTTACATATTTCGATTCTACAACTCAAATTGCGCCTAAATATGAAATTTTGTAAAATTTGGAACGACATTTACGGAGAAATTCACAAATTTATGTTGGCTCCTTTTTTTCAGTTTGCGCCAAGAATAGTTCACTTGGCGGACTTCTTAATATATGGCAATCTAGTTTCCTTTCCCGAAAGAGGAAAAAAAGTCACCATCGTTCCTTTTTCCAAATAATATTCTTTATATATATTTTTAATTATAACTTATTATTTTAAGTAACTTTTTTCTTTTTCGAATTTCATTTTAATTAAGTTTGCATTTTTTTTTTTTTTTTTTTTTTTTTTTTTTTTTCGAATAACTGTTTTAAAAATTTCTATTTACCTATTCGAACTGCGTAAATAAAGGTGCAGCGTTTATTTTTTTTCAAATAGTTTTCTTTACAAATATTTTTTTGTCATAGTTATTATTTTAGGTAATTTTTAAATTTTATACCTTAATTTTAATTGTTTGTGTTGCATTGTCTCTTCAGATAATTGTTTTAAAATTTTCTATTTATTCCTTCGAACTGAGCATTTAAAAATATATTTATTAATATAAATTTTCCAGAATTTGATTTTATTTATTTGAATTGCGTTTCTTTCGGAAGAATACTTTGCAACCCAGACTACGATGCGTTTTAAAACTGCATATATTAAAAGAGAAAATACAGTAAAGCACAGTTAACACGCCTTTCAATGTTCCGTTCAGAAAAGATATATATAAATAAGAGAGATGTATTACCGACATTTTAACTTAGGATGACTTGCATACACTGCTTTAAACAGTTTTATCATTGTGCCCATTGCTTTACACAATTTTATCCTACATTTGGTTTCTTAAAATGTTATTCATATTTTAGTCAAATATTTTATTTTTGAAATCGCAAGAATCAAATATCATAAGATTAAAAGGTTTTAAATTAAAAAAAAAATACTAATACTAAATTTTACGCAAAAATTTATTTTTTCTTTCTCTTTTTTTTTCAGGAATTCTACTTTATTCTTGCTCTTTTTCTTTAGGCAATCTGAGAGTATATTAAAAAGCATCCAACTTTTCGAAATATCTTGATATTTCTCACAATCATTTTAAATAAAGTTATCGCCTTCCATTTCATAAAGGCCCACAAACGGCCGAGCGGTAAAGTCGCAGAACCCTGGTAGTTCACTCCGGGGTTCGAAGCCCGGTAAACGGGCTGGTTGCATGGGCGTTTTCGTGGATTTCCTCAGGTGTACCGTGTATGACAGCTGGTTTCCCTTAGAAAGTTCTTCACGAAGTATTTCGTCAGAGCCTTTATCAGTCTTTAGAGGCTAAACATTTTGAAGGTATGAGATGGAAGGAAAGCCTGGTTTCATCAAGAGATTTTTGTTTATTTAATTATGACAAAGCAGACTAGGGTTATCTGCCTAAGGGGAGGGAGGCCTTCGTGGAGGACTTTCTAAGGGGAACTATCTCGCATACACGTTACACATGGGGAAAACCACGAAAACGCGCATGCAGCCAGCCCGTTCGCGGGATTCGAACCTCGGACCGAACTACCAGTGTTCAGCGACTTTACCGCTCGGTAGCTGTTTCATCAGGAGGGAAAAAAAACGCCTTTAGGTGACATCCACATACAATACTGGATAAACTCCTGAATCTTCAAATAATTCGACTGAGAAAATCATGGGATTCTCCATTTATGATACGATATGATGTTCTATAACGTAATTTAAATTTATACAACCATATAGTCTAAAACCAGTTGCTCTTCACTTTAAACTGCAATGATATTGTTTTTGCCTTTTCTGTTAACACAAGCTCAATTGATGGTATTTGCTGGTGTACACGTCCAAGTGTTTTCTCTTTGAACGCCTAAATTCTTTGAAGTATTCAAAAGCGTCCAACTTTTTTAAACGTCTTGGTATGTCTGACAACCAAATTTCCCTGCAAATTTTTGCTTACTTTTCTCCCTAATTTTCTTCTTTCCTTCTACAGTTATTTTCAGTGCTCACACAAGAAAATTAAGATTTTTCGATTGCTAGACTTCCATAAATTTTGCATTCTTGTCAATTTTTTAAAATAGCAGTTACATGAATTGCGTTTTCATTT